AGTTCTAAGATCAACCTTGTTTGAGTGGAACTGTAAGCATCGGTCCCTTCAATATTAAAAGCTGTCTAGGAGTTGATGGAACTTGATTGGTGAGAGTAACTTCAGCCACCTCTTGAACTTCCTCAAAATCCTTCTCGATCATATTGATTGTTGAACTATCATGTGTTGGTAGGGGGTTTTTAGCAATGTTTGGGCCAACAACTTCCGGCTCTGATGCAATTTGCAACTCCTTCGCATCTATCAAATCCTGCACCCGGTGCCTTAAAGCTAGACAATTTTCAAGATCATGTCCAACACCTCCACTATGATATTCACATCTTGCCTCTGGATTGTACCACGTTGGGAATGGTGATTTAACTGGCACCATGGGTACAGGAGTAACAAGACCAGCTGCTACCAATTGTTGAAACACTTCAGTGTATGATAAAGGAAGTTTGTTGAAATGTCGTCTCACTTTTTCTTGTTGTGGACGATTGATCCCAGAGGCATAGAGTGGCCTTGGCTGACTTGTAAAAATTGGTGGTTGATAAGTTGGAGCTTGGAAAGAATTATTGAATTGTCCTCGAAGGCGTGGTTGATTATTTCTCCCATACGTCTCATAAACTGAGCTAACGGTGCCAGTGTCATTTTCCTTCTTTCGATTCTGGCCCATTTTCCTTGAACTAGCAACTCTTGAACCACCATTTTGGTATTGTTCAAGGAGACTCTTCATTGCTTGATAATCAATAATAATCCCTGACTTGATTCCATCTTCCACTTGCTCTCCCACGATAACCAACTGAGTGAAAGTGTAATTTACACAAGTCATCAACTTTTCTCGATAAGGCCCTTTAGTTGACTTAATGAATAAATTACTCAGTTCGTGATCAGTTAGTGGCGGTTGAACTCGAGCAGCCAATCCACGCCATCTTTGAGCAAATTCCTTAAAGCTTTCACTCGATTTCTTCTCTGTTCTTTGAAGATCCTCTCTACTAGGAGCTAGTGATGTATTGTATTCATACTGCTTCATAAAATTGTAAGTCAAATCATGCCAACTTTTGACCTTACTTTTATCTATAGTAGAGAACCAAGCATCTGCAGGACCTATCAGACTGTCCTGAAAGTAATGTATCATTAGCTTCTCATCATTGGCATAAGGAGCCATCTTCCTGCAATACATTGTCAAGTGGGCATAAGGACAACCAGTGCCATTGTACTTATCAAACTCAGGCAATTTAAACTTATGGGGCAGTTGAATGTTTGGGAAAAAGCACAAAGATGAGATGTCAACCGGTTTATTGGTTTGGACACCTTGCATCGATTTTAGTGTTTCCTCCATCAACTGCACCTTCGCTTTAATTGCCTTGTCTTCATCCTTTGTGATTGACTTGACAACTTGAATCTCTTCTTGACTATTAGACTGAACTGTAGCAACACCAGCATTTAGAACAAATGGTTTTGTCCCAGAAGTTCCACCAATAATTGGATCAGGAGGGCCAGATGACATAGGCTCCTTCCCAAGAGTTAAAGCAGATGTGGCCACATTTCCTTCAAATAAAGGATTTGTTGTCAAAGGTGCCCTTGTGACTAAGGTTGCTTGAAGAGATTGGAAGGAAGCCATCAATTCCTTCAAAGTATTTTCCATATTTTCAACCCGATTTTCCAGAGCTACCTTCTCTAAATTAGCTTCGTCAGCCATTTTCCTTGCAAGAGCTCTAGTGCGAATAGGTGAACGAACTCTTGGATAATTCTTTTTGGGACCAATCTTTCAACACCTGAAAAATATGAGCGTTAGTAACAAATTATGAATTTACCTAACTGGTTTTTTTTTT